GGGTTTTTTTTAACAAATGAGAAATGAGGGCCTGGGGAAATAAAGTCATTTTGAAGGTCATACACAGGTAACTTACTGTAGATCAGAGGAATGTTATGTTACCACACCACAAATACAATCTGGAAAATAAATCAGCAGAGGTATTTGACATCAACTTCTTCTCTCCACAGTGGACATCACTCTGGATCGTGACACAGCCGGTCCAGGTGTTATCATCTCTGAAGATTTGAAGAGTATGAGATTTGGAGGTGCACAGGTACAAGTGCCCATCAACATTGGGAGATTCAGTTATTTTTCCCAAGTTCTTGGTACTCAGTCCTTCATTTCAAGTAGACACTACTGGGCAGTGGAGGTACCAGAAGACCCTGGATGGTGTGTTGGCATCTCTAATGGACCACCTACACCTGAAGTCTTCTTTGTGCTTATGGCTATACAAGGTCACATGGGTGGTTTTCTTTATGCTGTAGGCAAGCAGCACCTTTATTCTGTGCCTCATGTAAAATACTGCCAGAACTGTGTGTCCAACCTAATGGTGGGTATTTTCCTTGACTATGAAAAAGGAGAGGTGTCATTTTATAATGTTAAAGAAAGATCTCTTATTTTTGCCTTTCAAAACATTTACTTCTCAGGACCTTTTCAACCTTTCTTCTGTCTTTCTAAGAAAATCCTGACAAATGATTGCTCTCTCATGATCTGTCCCTAATTGAGAGACATCAAAAACATATGTATTTATCCTTCAAATAAACATCAGGCACTCTATTCCATAATTCCTGTGTGTCATAAAATTTTAAAACTAGAAGGGCCCTCAGAGGGTACGTATCATCACCATCTAATTTCACACATAACAACAGAACTGTGGGGAGGTAAAATGACTTGCCTACCCTAAATAGGATTCTTGGACCTACCTCCCAAACCAATTATATCATTTGTCCATCGTGTGCAGTTTGTATATACTTATCTTTGTACATGTTTTTCCTCTGACCTTAGGATAATATATGCTAACATGACAGCAGAGACTATTTCCTTTTTTATTTTTTGTATTTGTATATTTTGTATTTTGTATTATTTGTATTGTAGTTCCTAGCAAATTGCCTAATAAAAAGTTCTTAATAATGCTGTTTGAATTGAATTGAATATATTCAACTATTCATAGGATCATCATCAGAATCATGTTAAGTTAGTAGGGAACTTAGAGGTCATCTAGTCTAGCTCCTTCACATAAAATAGGAGGAAACTGAGGCTCAGAGAGGTTTGGTGACTTGACCAAGTTCTCTTAGGTAGAGAGGGAGTGGCTGAGCTAAAGTTTAAAACTAGTTCCCTGTTTGCAAATCAAGCAAGCTTTCTAAAACCCCACACTGCCAATAGAACTAGGACAAGAGACCCTGATACTTGGAAACTCAGTCCATTGCTTTTACTATGAAGACACTAATGGAAAATCAGGGGTAAGTGACTTGCCCAGTGTCACACAGCTAGTAAGTGTCTGAGGTCAGATTTGAACTCAGGTCCTCCTGACTCCAGAGCTGGTGCTCTACCCACTGTGCAACCTAGCTGCCCCTAAAGCCAGTATTGTCAGAGGCAAGACTTGAGCCCATATTTCTCTGCCTGGAAGGCTACATCTCTACCGGAATATCACTTAGATCCTCCTATCTCACACTTAAATCAGAAGAAATGATAAGTCTCCATACCCTCCCAGGAGTGTACGCTTTTAACAACCCAAATATCCCTGTATTGGGAAGATATTTGAATTAGGGACATATTGTTAAATCATGACATTGAGTTGACTTTGTCTTCCTATAGGAGGGCTTGGGAATTGGAAACTTTGGCTAATGAGATCACTATATTGTGCGGCTGGGAGGACGATTATGTCTTAGATCATCAGTGGGGAACCTGCTGCCTTGATGTTACATGTAGACCTGCTAGGTCCTCACGTGTGGCCCTTTGACTGAATTTAAACTTCACAAAACAATGCCCCTTAACAAAAGGATTTGTTCTGAAAAACTTGGACTCAGTGAGAAGGCTGCACCCAAGGACCCAGAAGGCCACATGTGGCCTGGAGGCTGCAGGTAATGGGATGTTAGAAGTGGAAAGACTTTGGTGATAAAGGTTATGAGTTCCATTTTGGCCATGTTGAGTGTAACATACCTAAATTTACATTTTCAGATTTGATTCTGGACATTAAGGAGAAAGATGAATAGAACCAAGAATCATAATTATAGAAATAATAATTGAGTTGAGAATTAAGTTGAGAAGGAAGGGAATTTTTAAAAGGCCATTAGATTGGCAAAAGCAGAAGATATTTTGATAAGTCTACTCCTTTTCAAGCCACATGCTTCCCCAAAGTTGCAGACATTTTGAAAAGTCTGTTCCCATCAGAAGTAATCAAAGCAAAAAGATGTACAAGGAAGCCAAGAATAATTGAAATAGGAAGCCAACAAAAAACCCAAGTAGCCTAAATCAAGCTAACCAGGATGGACTAAAGTGAAATGACAGGATGATGGCCCTGGTGATATCAAAAATGGGTTCTGGAAACACAAAACTACTTTATAGCATGGTTGTGCCTCAGCCACAGGAGTTTAAATTAAATGTAATATAGACATTGCTTTAATCTGCAAACATGAAAAAAAATTTTCATAGCTGCCCTAAAAGGGAAAAGAATATGTGAATAAATATTAACAATAGTACTGTGGGTCAGATTGGGCATTACAGAAACAAGGAAGCAGCTAACAAGAAAAGAAAAAAAAAACTTAGTATAAGGGAAGTCCACAAGAAGAGTTCCACTTAACAGAGTAATATGGGGTTTTCAAGGTATAGCAAAGATGAACTAAGTACCCAGTCAATCAGCAACACTTCAAAGCAGAAAGGAAATAGAGAAAATGTGTTAACCTTGGTGTCTCAAGAGTTCCCAGAGGTCGTATTTTTTCCTATGGGATAATGTATTGTCTATGGTTACTCGTATCAGAATATTTGCCAGGAAATATTGCTTTATTTGGCCTCACAGCCCAGATTAAAGCAAAAACTGGGTTTGGGGGGGTATACAGGAAATTGTTATTCAGGAAGGTAATACCTAATAGAGCTCTATTATTATACAGTAAAGAAAGAAAGGAAGGAAGGAAGGAAGGAAGGAAAGAAGGAAAAAAGGAAGGGAAGAAGGAAGGAGAAAGGAAGGGAAGCAAGGCAGGATACCCACACTATATGGAAATATAAGCACATATTGGTTTGTTCCTAGGAATACAAAAATCTCACCTGGCAGGATGGGGAGGGAATCATGTCAGGGAGAGCATACATTTAATGCTGAGGTTCAAGTAGAGAGGTTTTATACCCTAAAAATTGGCTTGGTGATAAAAAAGTGATCAGTGACAGATGTGGCAGGAAGCATTCCTAATTAGACCTTGATATGGTGGAGCAATGCTTGGGATCAATACCAGGCTCAAGGGAGGCTTAGGTAGAGGGAGTTTCTTTATCAAGACCCAAATTGGGAGAAGGTTGGAGTTAACTATCTGAGGCAGCAGAAGAGTAATTCACAGGCCATGTCAGTTGGTCAATAGTTTGATCTATTTAGAGATTGTGAGTATTAACCACTTGACACAGTTTTAGTATATATCAGAACAGTGGAATAGCACAAGCCTATCTCTTATGGCCCTTATGCTTTATGGACAATAGGAACACTTTGCCGAAGTGATTTATTTCATTGGAGTCCTATCATCATAACTATAGCATTGGACAATACAAACAATTACAATGATCACACATGTGTAAGACAGCAGAGACTTCCTTCAAGAGAGAATCAGTCAGACTCATCCTGCCCTTGCCAGATTGTGGGTTTCTCTTTCTATACAATCATGTACCTCTGTTTCTTTTCCCTATGAGGTTACTTTTTCTGGGAAGAAGGTGTTTCCCCATACTTACAGGACTCATTTTCATCCTGCTCCATAGTATATATAGATGATTTCACTTTAAGGAAAAGCAATCTTTTAGTTCAAAATACAATGAAACCTAACCAGGAACCTACTTACTATTCAACATAAAACACTCAAGTGGGCATTTAAGCCCACCCCCTCCCCCAATAATCTGCATCCTACTTCTATAGTCATATATATATATATGTGTGTGTGTGTGTGTGTGTGTGTGTGAATTTATGTTTATTTTTTCCTATTCTAACATCTCTGTTCCAGTCCAATTGGCCCATTAGCCATTCTGCAAACAATATAAACTATCCCTTGCCTGATTGTCTTTGGTCTTTCATGCCTGAAATCTACTTTCTCTTCACCTCCAACTCTTCCAATGCTTCCTTCCTGTCAAGGCTTATCTCAGGTATCACCTCTTTCAGGAAAATTTTTCTGATCACACCTGTTCTTAAATGCTCTCTTCCTCCAGAAAAAAATTTGACATTTACTTTGTAAATGCTTTGCATCTGTGTAGAGATCCATGTTCTCTCTTCCTAGCAGAATGTAAAGTTTTTGAAGTACCACCTGTTTCATTCCATTTTTTAAATTATTCATTATTTCTTTTTAGCATGCATTTTTAAAAATTTTGAGTTCTGAGTTCTCTTCCTCCTTCCCCTCTCCCCTATACATTGTAAAGGCAAGAAATGTGAAGAATTTTCATATTTTAATACCTAGATTCAAGCCAGTGGAACACAGGCAGGCACTAGGACACTCAGAATTCTTCCTACTGATCATTAGAGATCTACATGTTATATTTGGGCTTCAGAGTGAGGGCTGGATGGACGCTGGAGTTTCTACTGCCACCTGGTGGCTGATATTGATGTTGCGCCCTGATTAATATTCTAGATCTTCATCTTCAAAGGCACATGAGCATAGATGCTCTGCTACATATTTTTTCTTCTGCATTGCCCAGGAATGTGGCAGGTACATAATTATAGAAGACATGGGTTCATTCATTAACAAACCTTGAAAGATGAATTCAAATTCAATTTTGACTAACCTACTGGATTTGTTGCCAAAAGAAATTGGCATTGAGTGAATATTCCTAGATTTCATCAAGGTTTCATCATATCTTTTGTGTTGTCTCAGTGAACACTATGAAGATATGTCAGCTAGATGATAGGATAGTTTGAAATATTCAGAAATGATTGAATGACTGGATTAAAAAAATTAGACATGAATGTATATGTTTCCAAGTTGTTGGGTTTTTTGGTTTTTTTGAGGTAATTGGAGTTAAGTGACTTGCCCAGAGTCACATAGCTAATGAGTGTTATGTGTCTGAGGCCAGATTTAAACTTAGGTCCTCCTGACTCCAGGGCTGATGCTCTATCCACTTCGCCACCTAGCTGCCCCTTATATGTTTCCATTTAGAAGTGAAATACCACAGAGTTTTCCCTTCATTCTGTTTTGTCACATTTTATCAATAACTCATATAGGGTTATCAAATTTGTAGATAGCATAAATACTTTAGCCATAGTTTGCTATGATTTTGGCTGATAGAGTCTATTGATATCCTCAGTAAAAGGTTTCTACAGACTAGAATGATGAACTAAATTGAAAAAAGATGTGATTTAATAGTGATAGTAGAAAGGCAAATGCTTTGTCTTTTCATAGCTATTGTATAACCCTAACTCTAATACCTTCAACAATGTGGATCACTACTCATTCCTATTTCTTCATCCCCTTTGACTTCTATTTTTGTTTTCCCATTGGTGTGTTTCCTCATCTAGGAGTTCCCTACCCTAAGAAAACCAGAAGT